TTTTTTTATGAAAATCTTTGATTTTTTTTTCAATTTATTTAAATAATATATATATTCTTTAATTTTTTTGACAATACATTTAATTTGATTTGTTGTTTTTTTTAAATATATTTTTCAAATGTAATATTTGTGATTGTATGGTAGTTAGAGTTCGGTTCTCTTGATTTTGTGAGAGTATGCTTTATTTTGTTATCTCTTGTTCAATGCTATAACATTTGAATTTTTGCAGGATGGAGTATCATTTAGATGCAGAGTTGAGACGGATGTCGGGGAAAGCTACTTGGAACAGTAGCTTTGAGAGTTTTACTGCTGTATTGGAGCTGCTCGATGATCAGCACGGAGATATTCTACGACAGTCCTTCTTGTGGCCACTGTACCAGTTGCGAGAGGTGCAGTATTCAGGACAGATCATTGATGCACTTCTATGTCGGCTTCTGAGTCCAGTCGACGGCGATTCCCTCCAGTTCGACCTCGGGGGCAAGGTCGTCAGTTTCTCGATGTTTGAGTTTACATTGATCACTGGACTGAAGATTACGGGCGACGATGCAGCCATGGAGAGAAGCAGTAGGCTGTACAAGACGTACTTCCAGGGACATGGGTCGGTGCTTCTACCCGACTTGATGGCCGCGATCAGGTGGTGCGACCATATGCTAGATAGATTGAAGCTTGGGCTGGTCTACATCCTCGAGAGTGTGATGAGGTGTCATCACAAGAAGACTGTCATCGACATTTTTCATTTGCAAGTTGTTGATGACATCGATGCGTTCAACAACTATCCGTGGGGCCGAATATGCTACGAAGACACCTTACATGTGTTCACCAGATCGCACTCGAGGCCCAGGGGGTCGATGCGTAAATACGATACATACGGATTGCCGTTAGCAGTGCAGGTAAATGTTTAATATAATCAAAGTTAAAGTTTTAATGTATTACATTGATGCTTAATAAGTGTATGCGTTACAGATTTGGATGTATGAGACAGTTCCTGTACTGGGGGCCCGCTTTGCACAGCGAGGGGAGACACGCTGCCCTCGGATGCATCATTGGAGATCATCGCGAGCGGAGGGATGTCCCACCGGGAAGCAGTTATCGGCCCTCCTCGACGATCCTCAGGTAAGTATTATGTATTTGTGATTTATATTATATGTAGTTTAAAATTTTGTTTACATGATCGTTAAATAGTTGAAATGTCAATATGTCAGCTTGAAGTCATACCTGAGTTGACGCCATCGATGGAAGAGGAGGCTCGGGGTCTTGTGCGGGATTTAGGCGTTCCGTACACCCCAGACGAGGAGATGCCTGATCCGAGTTTGAACCGAGATTGGGTATGTGAATGAAATATAATTTATTGAATATGATCGACGTATAAATTTATTGAATAATTTTTCATTTTATTTATGTAGGAGGGAGGTCCAGCTGATCGACGATCACCTCCGCCGGGGCTAGCGCTGCCACCATTGGCATCATCTCCGCCGAAAGTATCGTCCCCGCCATTGGCATCACCTCCGTCCAGACACCTCCCCCGTGTGTCTCCCCGGCACAGTGATGATTTGTATGCCCGTTTGATTGGATTTATAGCGGAGGAGGTCGGCGCGCTACGACGAGATTTGACGGAGAGGGTCGATGATCTGGGACGAGAGTTGACAGGGAGGGTCGACGATCTGGCGGGGAAGGTTGACTATATGACAGGGAGGGTCGACGATATGGGACGAGAGTTGACAGGGAGGGTTGACGATCTATCTCATGATGTTGGAATACTACAGTCTTCCGTTGTCGACCTTCAGGATACAGTAGTGGCGCTTAGGGGAGATTTAGCCGACAGACGATGGGGAGACAGAGGGGATGGCGGAGACCATGATCAAGAGGGTGGCAGAGATGGTGATGGAGAGGGGGGTCACCCACATTTTTGGTGTGATGAGGCATTGGAGTCCTTGTGGTTGTCTATGGAGGGGGTGGCCCCGATAGGGATGGGAGAGGGGACTACGGAGGGGGTGGCCCCGACGGGAGGGGAGGAGGAGGTGGCGACGGAGGGGCGACGGGAGGGGAGGAGGAGGTGGCGACGGAGGGGGAGGCCCCGACGGGAGGGGCGGAGGTGGTGGCGACGGAGGGGGCGGAGGAGGTGGCCCCGGAGGTCGAGAGGACGCCCGGCGTGATTGAGGGTAAGAGACATGCTGTTGATGAGACGGAGCAGGTGGTCGGCAAGAGATTGAGAGTGCCGTCACAGTATGTTGTTTCCCCCTTCACGGCTGAGGCCAAGAGGAGGACGTTCATCGATGGGACGTACCCGAACTTATTCAGAGAGGTGGACAATGCCAAGTGGAAAGCGTTCGAGACAGAGTGGAGGAGAATTATCCCCGGGTAA